TAGAGAGATACAGATCGGTAGGTAGATGGGTAAATTAGTTCTGCTGTAGAATATGACAATATAGTCATTTTCCCCAAGAGCCATTAATTCCCCCAAAGGGTGCCGATGGCAGCGCAGGCAGAGCAATTATGGAAGACTGATTTCAAAACAAAGTGGCACTGACCCCGCCTGACCCCGCGTTGCGTAATGAGACAGGTGGCCACCGCCTGCAGGTGACCGGTGACTCTGGGATATGATGAAAGCCACTCCACCCTATGTCTGTCTGGGAGTACCTGTATGTCTGTCTTTCTATGTCGGTCTGTGTATACACACACACAGACACAAACTGATATACGTCAACATACCATAAAGTGAACTATATAATTTCACTTTATAAAATTCAACATTTTCTACTTACCTCATTTGACTAAACAAAGTAAACAAAGGCCGGGCCATGATGACTCCCTTTCAAACGAAGTGGCACTGACCCCGTCTGACCCGGCGTGGCGCAGCGAGACAGGTGACCCCGACCGCAGGTGAGATGCTGTCGGACTCTCTATTACGTAATCAAAACGACGCATTTATGGCCGACGTTAAAAAAGGTTTCTGTTTTTAATAAATAAAAAGGTAATTGATAATATCAGCTGAGAATATATCTTGCAAAATTCTGTCCATTTTGGAGAAATTAAGTCGACCTGATTAGCGAGCAGTGATGCCAGGTAAGAGTCAGAACTCAGAGCGCGAAAAAATCTGCAGGTTGATGCAAAACTGACAAAATGACGTCATCAATCATTCGATTTCGCGGCCTAATGTTAGTTGTTTGTTGACGAATCCTCACCTGGATGGAAGTTCCGGTTTTGGGATTAGATATTGTGTCATAAAAGGATATGATGTAATATTTAACACCTCTCTTGCTTTTGCTCTCCCCCCCCTTCTCTATCTATCTATATCTATTTCTCTATTTATCCGTATTTATCTACTTACCTCTATCTACCTGTCTATCTCTATTCAACTGTTTATCTCTCTCTACCTGTCTATCTCTATTTAACTGTTTATCTCTCTCTACCTGTCTATCTCTATTTAACTGTTTATCTCTACCTAGCTGTCTATCTCTTTATTTGCTATCTATCTCACTTTTTCATTAAATCATTAAAGCCCCGGGATTCATATCGATAGATTACATCTTCAAAACAAATGACCAATTATCTAACCTGATCCAACCTTACGTAATTCTACATTTAATCTCGGAACTCACAGATTGTTTCAAAATTCCCCGAGAGAGAGAGAAAGAGAGAGAGAGAGAGAGAGAGAGAGAGAGAGAGAGAGAGAGAGAGAGAGAGAGAGAGAGAGAGAGAGAGAGAGAGAGAGAGAGAGAGAGAGAGAGAGAGAGAGAAATTACACTGTTTGAACAATGCGTTATGTGGTGTACGGATTAATCCCGGACGGAACTTGCAATGAGGTGAAGGTCCAGGGACGAAGGACCTTCATTTAAGCTGTTGGTGGTATAGATACATACAGGCATACATATATGTACATATACATAGATATGTATAGGCCTACACGCATGCACGCACGCGCACGCACGCGCTCACACTCACACACACACACGCACACGCACACGCACACGCACACACGTATATAATGCTGAGAGAAAGCAGACAGACAGGCAGAGTAAAAAAAAAACATAAAGAGAAAGAAAATGAAAAGAAAAAAACAGACACACCAAAAGACAATACGACTACCAAAACACACACACAAAAAAAACAAAATCCTATTTCAAAACAATTTGACAATAAACCCCTCGACCGCCCCATCCCACCCCCCACCCCCCGACACACAAAACTCATCACGCGAACATCCACTCCACCCCCCCCCCCCCACATGTTATCTATCAAACTTCATTATATCTCTAGGGACGGACACTGGAAAACCCACTCTCCTTATGTCAGTTCGAAAAAGGGACATGACTAAATACGGTTTATACTAATAAACACACCGGACGCTTTATCTTCAGCCAAATCCGATATGCTTTTAGAGAGAAGTTAATGTTGAGTCTCCTAACTATACAGTTTATTTTCGTTTTTTTCGATATATTTACTTGTTCATGTTTTTTTTAAGGTATCTCAACGATTCAGTTTGTCAGTGTTTACCCTTTGACTTCAAAAATTTTGCTTAGTCATGTTAATTAAGGGATCAATTTAATTTGTCATTCCTCTTAATGAACTTGAACGCGGTCATTAACGAGGCCATTCGTCGAATCCAAGGTCGTCATAGCCTCGAGGGGTTCCTCATGGTTATTTGAAGAACCTGTTTATTCATTTTTTTTTCTCACTATTTTTTTTTTTTTAGATATTGTTCATCAGTTCGATTGAAATGGTTAAGTATTTTATTTGCAAGAACAAGAAAACAGAGAGAGAGAGAGAGAGAGAGAGAGAGAGAGAGAGAGAGCGAACAACATAGCACTTTCCATGCACATCTCCATCACGAACAAACAAGGGTACAACCAAAGAAAAAGACGATAAAAATTGTGATTTCCATGTATTGTTTATAACGGTACAGGGCATGTTTCTTCCGGAAGGGCTGGAGAGTCGCGGGGTGTGGTGCCCTAAACATAAGGACTAGATAAAGGGACTGATCTACAATGCCGTTACACAAAACATCGATACTCTTCCTTTTTTATTCACCAGGTGTGACTCAAGAAGGGAATCAATCAAAAAAATGAAAGCCCATTTAACGTAAAAAAAAAAAAACATGAATGTGAAAATAAAAAAAATATAAAAAAATATATATAATAGTGATGACAGCGTTCTGACCTAAACTTGTGTCACGTGATATGGTCGGTGGTTTTGTTTCCTTTGAGATCGTGAAAGACATTTGGTATAAAGTTCCTAGGACAAGGTGTATCACACTATAAAAGCCGTTCACACAATCACCCGTCTTGACAGGTGGCATAGTTCTGTTTTGCAACCTCGAGAGAGAGAGATTTTAAGATTTTCCTTTTTTCTTGAATAAGATTTCTCTTTTTTTCCAACCACCTTGTTATAACGGAAATATTTACACTTGGTCCCATGCTTCCCTCGTATCACAAGATATCAGACGTTGAGCAAGGTGAGGGCGTATCTTCCCGACGTCCCCCTTCAGCATATCACAGGGTATCGTTCACTATTCACAACAACTCCCTCGGGCACATCTTTCAGGGTATAAATACGTAAGTGGTGGTAATGCAAAACAAATGCATGGGGGGAAATAGACTCTTTTAATACAAAAGAACGAACCCAAATATTGGGTCTTTGTACTTCACGCCGACCAATGAGGAAAGAAATGGAATGGATGGTCAGAACAACTGTGTGAATGATGATAAAACCGTGAGTGACCAGGGGCAGCTGATCAAGTCAAAGGGAAAATTATGGATGAAGATGACGAGAGATGAAGAACAAAAAAACTCAACAAAATTCTGTCCAGACGGAGATTCCCTCAGGAGGATCTTAATCACTTCTTGGACGTATTTACAAACTATATAAATTATCCTTTGGCATTCATGGGGAATAAACACCTGTCCGAAGATCACCCCGTCTGGACAAAAGTCTTCTGTACACAACAAAAATACATATATTGCACACACACTTTTCTTTTCTTTTTTTTTAGGAAATAAAGAGTGATTTCTTTTCTCTCGATAAACCCACGGGCACCTAAGGGCGGGGCAGTCATCATAAGCCCAGTCGCTTGAGGCCCGTGCGAGGTAGCGTGTTTCTGCTCTTGGCCTGCTTGTTCTCGGCCGCCCACGACTTCGACTTGCCGCGGTGGATCTTCAGCTCCTCGGCGAAGTTCGCGTCCAGCATCCGCACGTACTCGTGGGGCGTGCACAGGTCGGGGTACGCCTCGAAGAAGGCCTTGTAGCCGCCCTCCAGCAGGTACGTCTCCGGGAAGTGCAGGGCGGGGTAGTGCTCCTTGTTGCGTTTGCGGTCGTGCTCCCGCAGGAGCCTTTGCGCCTTGGGGCCCCGCTCGGCGGAGAACTCGCAGTGGAAGATCAGGATGTGCCGGGGGGCGTCCTCACTGGGGATGACGGGCGTGCCCTTCTGCAAGTCCAGGTGGTCGAGCACCATCTGTGGGTGGTTCCACATCTCGGCCCCCCTGATGTGGCCGCCCTCGTACTCGTACGGGTATCTGCAGTCCAGGATCTTGAAGGAGGCGATGGTGTTCTTGAACTTCCCTCGGACGATGTCGGCCATGGTGTCCACGCTGATGGCGTTCAGGTCGGGGTGCTTGCCGCCCTCTATCGTGGGGAGGGAGATGGGCTTGGAGAAGTCGCCCGTTAACTGCCCGTGGTGATTGGCTGCGGAGGAGAACGACAGTCATGAGTAACCGATCTTTGAGGCCCGAATGGAGACAGACCAAGAGCAATATATAATAATTTGTCAACAAGCACTCTAAATCTGTCAAGATACTTACAGCACTTGTTCAACGCCTTCATAATGGAGACGTGGCTCTCGGAGTGGCTTCGCTGGAGCTTGGGCTTGGCGGTGTGTGTCGTGCTTGCCTCGGGGGCGGAGTTCTGTCGGAGTGCGAGCGGGGACCGGAGGGTTTCACTGGAAGTCGCCGAGACGACGGTGGGGGAGGCGTTGGAGGTGAGGGGGGACGCGGGCTCGCCGGCGTCCTCCTGCCTTCGCCGCTTGCAGTCCACCTGCGACGAGAGGTCCGTGGGAGGCTGCGGCCGCTTGAAGGACAGGCTGGACTCGAGGGAAGGCTTCAGGGAATGCACCTGTTGGCAGAGGAGGAGGTCGTTAGCTGTGCGAATTACGAGCAATAGGTTCGATATGGAACTCAAGAATGCTGGACTGTCAAGTATTAGATGAAGGCATTGCATGGAGAATGACACTTACTCTGGATGAGGTGGGCGTGGTGTCGAGCATGGAGAGGCACCTTCTGATGGAGGGGCGGTTGCTGAAGGTGGTTGTGGTGGTGGCGGTGGGGGTGGCGAGGCTGGTTGGCTTGGAGGCTGCGGGCGGCTGGATGGGCGCCGACAGCAGGCTGGAGAATCCGATGATGGACTGCTGTTCGTTCTGGCTGGGCACCTCGTCCATGAGGTCCATGAGCAGGGCATCTTCCTCGTCGCCCTTGCAGAGGGACGAGAACTTCCTGAAGGGCCTGCGGCGGTCCTCGGAGGACGACGCCGTGGACGAGACGGGCGTGGATGTGGTGGAGGAGAAGACGGTGGTGAGGGCGGCGACGGGCTTCACGGGGGACACCATCGTCTGGGGCTTGGCTGGGGACAGGTCCAGGTTCAGCTTGCGGGGCGCGCAGCTGACGGGCACGCTGAAGCAGTCGTCCTCCAGCTTCTTGCCGCTCTCCGAGTACCCGCTGTCCTGCGAGTTGGTGTCGAAGTCCTCCGGGGGGGAGGGCTTGTGTGGCGAGTTGAACACCCTCTTCGAAGGAGACACCAGCTGTTCAGGAGAAACAAACAAAATTAGCACTTCACGCAAGCCAACACCCTGTCAATTCACAATCTGCAACTTGCAACATACATCCCCAATCTATCCCTGACAACAACGGCCCCCACCCCCCCTGCAACTTTGCCAACAACCAACCTTGCTAAGGGGACTGAAGTTGAGGTTCCTGTTGACGGTGTTCTGCACGTCCTTGAGGGGGCTGACGCGCGTGCGGGCGGGGATGACGGCGCTGTGGGAGGGTGAGTAGTAAGGCGAAGGGAAGTTCTCCTTGTTGCGGGACAGGAAGCGACGCGAGGGCGACACGGGGCTGTCCTCCTGGCCGGCCTCCGAGGCGAAGGACTCGTGCAGGAAACCTGGAGGGGCGAACGAGCAGAGCCAATGAGCACAAGACGCCACACACAACATCGACGCAAATCAAAACATGACCCATCAACACACAACATATCAAAAAAACACCCCCAATAACACCCATACCCACCCCATCCCCTCCCCTCCTCCCCCCAAACAAAAAACAACCCAAAAAAAATACTCACTCGAACAGACGAGCGACGCCTCATGGCACGACTGCGGGGTGTCGGAGAGCGTGGACGAGAGGGAGAGCTTCCTCCGGGGGGTCTGGGAGAGCGAGGCGCCGTGGTGGAGGGTGAAGGCCAGGCTGGACATCGGAGAGAGGTCAGTGGAAGCCGAGGTCACCTGGGGGGACTCCGGCTGGGCTCCCCGCAGCACCGTCCGGTATAGAACGTCGCGACTACTCATGATTACGGCCTGGAGAGGGAGAGAGGAGAGAGAGAACGTCAGGATAAGCGCACACGGGGATAACGAAGGAGATGGAGGAGGAGGGAGAATAAACCCTCGCGACTGCTCATGATTACGGCCTGGAGAGGGAGAGAGAGAAGAGAGGGAGAGAGAGAAGAGAGAGAGAGAGAGAAGAGAGGGAGAGAGAGAAGAGAGGGAGAGAGGAGAGAGAGAACGTCAGGATAAGCGCACACGGGGATAACGAAGGAGATGGAGGAGGAGGGAGAATAAACCCTCGCGACTGCTCATGATTACGGCCTGGAGAGGGAGAGAGGAGAGAGAGAACGTCAGGATAAGCGCACACGGGGATAACGAAGGAGATGGAGGAGGAGGGAGAATAAACCCTCGCGACTGCTCATGATTACGGCCTGGAGAGGGAGAGAGAGAAGAGAGAGAGAGAAGAGAGGGAGAGAGAGAAGAGAGAACGTGAGGATAAGCGCACACGGGGATAACGAAGGAGATGGAGGAGGAGGGAGAATAAACCCTCGCGACTGCTCATGATTACGGCCTGGAGAGGGAGAGAGAGAAGAGAGGGAGAGAGAGAAGAGAGAACGTGAGGATAAGCGCACACGGGGATAACGAAGGAGATGGAGGAGGAGGGAGAATAAACCCTCGCGACTGCTCATGATTACGGCCTGGAGAGGGAGAGAGAGAAGAGAGGGAGAGAGAGAAGAGAGAGAGAGAAGAGAAGAGAGGGAGAGAGAGAAGAGAGAACGTGAGGATAAGCGCACACGGGGATAACGAAGGAGATGGAGGAGGAGGGAGAATAAACCCTCGCGACTGCTCATGATTACGGCCTGGAGAGGGAGAGAGGAGAGAGAGAACGTCAGGATAAGCGCACACGGGGATAACGAAGGAGATGGAGGAGGAGGGAGAATAAACCCTCGCGACTGTTCATGATTACGGCCTGGAGAGGGAGAGAGAGAAGAGAGAACGTGAGGATAAGCGCACACGGGGATAACGAAGGAGATGGAGGAGGAGGGAGAATAAACCCTCGCGACTGCTCATGATTACGGCCTGGAGAGGGAGAGAGAGAAGAGAGAACGTGAGGATAAGCGCACACGGGGATAACGAAGGAGATGGAGGAGGAGGGAGAATAAACCCTCGCGACTGCTCATGATTACGGCCTGGAGAGGGAGAGAGGAGAGAGAGAACGTCAGGATAAGCGCACACGGGGATAACGAAGGAGATGGAGGAGGAGGGAGAATAAACCCTCGCGACTGCTCATGATTACGGCCTGGAGAGGGAGAGAGAGAAGAGAGAACGTGAGGATAAGCGCACACGGGGATAACGAAGGAGATGGAGGAGGAGGGAGAATAAACCCTCGCGACTGCTCATGATTACGGCCTGGAGAGGGAGAGAGAGAAGAGAGGGAGAGAGAGGAGAGAGAGAACGTCAGGATAAGCGCACACGGGGATAACGAAGGAGATGGAGGAGGAGGGAGAATAAACCCTCGCGACTGCTCATGATTACGGCCTGGAGAGGGAGAGAGAGAAGAGAGGGAGAGAGAGAAGAGAGGGAGAGAGAGAAGAGAGGGAGAGAGAGAAGAGAGGGAGAGAGAGAAGAGAGGGAGAGAGAGAAGAGAGAACGTGAGGATAAGCGCACACAGGGATAACGGAGGAGGAGATGGAGATGGAAGAAGAATAAACCGTCGCGTTCTCCCCCTTATTTTTCTTTTCATATGAATTCTCACTCAACAAGAAATAATCTAGTTATATGAAGCACTCATTGAAGCACTTTTTCATGTATTGGTAAAATCCACTGGTGCTAAAAATAGCCACGGGGAACGACATTCGGGGGGGGGGGGTATTCACTCGAACACGAAATCGTAAAAAAATAAGAAAAAAATCGCAAATTGAATCACATTTCAATGAATCACTTAATTGAATCACACATTTTATAAACAAATTCAAAAAATCAGAATCACATATAATTCTCAAATAAATAAAATTTAAGAACAACTTTGTGGCAACAACTCGACCTACATTTATAAGTTACTTATTAAACACTGTAATTCACTTTTTTTTGAGTGGAAAACGAGAGCACTAAACACCGTGTTTACCTTTTAATGTAAATTCCGAAAAAGATTTTGATTTTCCTCTTTTCAAATTGAAATTAAATAAAAGAAAAAAAAAGCTTTTCGACGAAGAATCACTTTTCCAAACTTGTCGTCGCTAAAGCACTTTCGTTATCACTATCGTTCCATGGTTAAATCCTTTTCACAAGCTGCTTCTTTTTAATCTTTCTTGTTATTTCCTCGTGATTATTATTTTTCTTTCTCTTCCTTTAGATGTTGTCGGGAGGGAGAGAGAGATGGAACTGACTACAAACACGTCCTCCCGACAAGCACGTCAGCGCGAGACTCCGAGGCCGACGCCCGTTCGTACCGCCCGCTCGCCTCGCCCCGGAACGCCTTTGGGAACGAGATGCAAAACCCACTTTTCGGCCTTTTTGGAGGGGACTCGTTCGGTTGGAGGGGAAGTTTGGGGAGATTTCGGGGCACATGGATTTTGTTCTAGGGGTTTGAGGGACGTGGAGGTTGTTTGGGATAGGGGATGGGGTTTTTCAGGGGTGAAAACACTTTGGGATCGAGATGGAAAGGTTGGTGTCGTCTGCCAACCCCGGGATGCGTTCCAGCCGGCGCCGAGGCAATGACCCGCCCGATTCAATTCTCACTTCAAAATAACTGCTCAAAACACTCCAAAACCACCAGGTATAATTACCATTTCAAATAAAATCTGCTGCTACTACACACTGGACGACTTCACATGCAACACATAATATCCTCTGATGTGACTAGCTAAGCTACACGACTTGGAATGCGTTCTAGCGGCTCGACTCGGGATGTAAATATGACGAGGCGGACCCCAAGCTCGCTCCTGATTGGCTGGCCTCAAGCTCGCTCCTGATTGGTCGCCGCGAATCGGGAGGGAAATGGGTGTCGCTTCGTCCTTTTTTTTTTCCATTTTTATCTTTATTTCCACTATTTATGTCTCTTGTTTCTCCCGGTTTGATTTCGTTTCCTTTGCTCGGTTGTTGTTTGCATATGATCGCGTTCTCTTGGGTCACATAGGCACAATATATAATTAATTATTTCTTATCTTTTCTTATCTTATAAAAAAAACGTGACACGTACACTTTAACAATAAATAACAATAATAAAAAATAATCATACGAAAGATTAACACATAAATGACAACCATAAGAATAGAAAATTAATTATATATAAGAATACATGAAACACATGCAAGATACAGCTTTTGTGTTATATGTTAATGATGAAATTTTCCTCGCATTGCTAGAGGCATTTTAAGAGGCTCACTTATCATAATGTAAAATCTAATATGATATTCTGATGCAATTAATCATAATACTGTTAATCATATTAAATCATTAAATTATTCATTATTACGTTTTTTTTTAATTCATACATTGAAATCTACAACACTTCTAACAATTAGGTCAATGCAAAATAAAAAATTAATTAATTAAAATCTGTAATTCCGATATAAATACATCGCAGAAATAAATAAATTAATAATAAGGATAAATTCTGCGGGAGGAAAACAAACCACTCGAAAACTCGGCTTCCGGAGGGCGTGAAAAGCCCGTAGATTTTAACCGCGACTTTTCCCTTCACAGCTGGGTTGTGTTGACGAGCTTACTAATATTCCCGAGGTTGCTAAATCCGTTATTATGCGTCAGCAAGGAAGTCAAATTTAACTATTAAATAGATTGCAAGGGCCATGCATTAAATTGTGATGCATGTTCCAGAATGTATAAAAATATTAACAATATTAACTAGTAAATTTAGCGGTCTTTAACAGGTGACTGATTGCCATTTACAAAGTTTTAATTAATTACATATGCAAAATGATTATAACTTTACACTGCATGTTCTTTATCTCAATTCTCCCGCGTAACTATGCATCTATTATATTTTTATATGTTTTTAATTCAGTAGAACAGTTTATATAAAATCAACTCAACACGATGCCATCAGAGAAATGCACATTGTAGGAAGTTAAATATAATATGCATGTATGTGTGTATGTATGTGTGTATGTATGTGTGTATGTGTGTGTGTATGTGTGTGTGTATGTGTGTGTATATATATATATGTATATATGTATATATATATATATATATATATATATATATATATATATATATATATATATGTGTGTGTGTGTGTGTGTGTGTATGTATGTATGTATATTTAAAATAGTTAGCTTTCAAATTTAACATTTAATTCTATATCGGATATGTTTCCAAATAATTTAATTTAGATAACTATATTCCAGCATCATAGCGAGTTCTTATATATATATATATATATATATATATATATATATATATATATATATTACATCTCATACAAACACGTACAACTAAAATACTCAAACTCCTTTCGTAAACTATCCACATCTCCCAGTAATGATCATGGCAACAAGCAGTTAGCAGTCACAACATTGTGGTTCCCCTGTCTTCCCGTAACTAGGAAAGGGGTGTTTGACCTTTTTTTCCCCCATAGGTTACGTCCAAGACACGCTGTCTGGGTCATGACCTAGTCTAGTCTTGTTTCGTGCACTTGGGTTAATGGGTTAAATGTGATGCTTAAAAAAAAAATTATACATTATATATATAAATATATATATATATATATATATATATATATATATATATATATATATATATTTGTAAGATATAGCTGAGATCGGTGTGCGCGTTTATTGTTGGAATATATGGTGGAATTTATAATTTATGCGCATATTTAGTCAATGTCATTTTGATTCTGATTTTAGAATATCGCAGTAACAAACATCTTTCTTTCCTCAAATATCTTGCATCTTTCGAAAATGAAGTCTTCCGTGCAAATTACATGTTCCTTTTGGTTTAAAAATATCGCACGTCTGGCCAGGTTAGGCAAACGCTAAGCCCAGTGCCCCCCCCCCCACCCCCGCCGCGTAACATGGGCACGAACACAATACCCAACAATAATTCTCGATTCGGAGGAACCCAGCTTAGTAAGCTTAACAACTCCTCCTGTACACAAAAGCTCTCTTGTCACGGGCGCGTCCTACCCGAGGTACTCTGTATTAAATTAACCAGCCCGCGTCACAGCAAAGGTTGAAAAGAAGGAACCAGGCATGTAGAAAAGGTGGGACGGGGGATCCTGTGGCGGTTCATAGCAGCTGCTGCTCCTGCTACGAGACAAAAGCGATGTAGGTATTATCTCCGAGGACCATTAAGCTGATACGGACATTTCTCGTGAGCGCAGATAACACACACGCGCATTGTCTAACCCTGCCAGCGCTTCCCCGGTCTCGGTCTCCTCAACACGGCGGCGACATGGGAGAGAGGGAGAGAGGGAGAGAGGGAGAGAGGGAGAGAGGGAGAGAGGGAGAGAGGGAGAGAGGACGGCCATAAAACTACGGCCCGTTCCTTTCAAGAATAGATAGATCCGTCCCCGTCAGACTGCGCACAAAACCTGTGCCTTCGCGAGGAATTAGTCCTGGAATTAGCATCGGAGCCGATTGCTACGTCAATTAGGCCGTTTCGGGGTAATGAGCTAAGCTCGTGCGCGCGTTTGTGATGTCGTCGAATGTGATTCTGTACACGTCCCTAAAAAAAAAGATGTTCAAAAACCGCGTGCACTTTTTGATGTATTTGGTGAACTATAATGATATATTTTGGAATCATACGGATATATGGTAGATATAACGTACTATTGCGTAATGTTCATTAACCAAATCCATTGAAATATAGCGTAGTTATACTGTTATATATGTACGATATATCAATGGTATTTCATTGTACCATGAATGGGTCCCAAATGCACTATACTTATATATACTCCACAAAAATATAAAAATAAATTGTCACTCATTTTCCTTCATCGCCATTATTTATTTATATGGTTTATTTTTTTATATCTTTAAAAGGGGGGGGGGCTAGCAAAAGCACGGGAGGGGTAATGCCCGGGGGGGGGGGGGGACAGGCACAAGGGGCATTGTACGGCATTCTGTTCTCACAAATGCATTTTTGTGGAGAAGTGTGTAAATTGGGTTGCTCTGGACGTGGTTACTGGTGGGCGTGGTGGAAGTGGAGGGGAGAGGGGGGAGGGGGGGTTATTAGTACCTGCTGGGTATACCATCTGTACGGGAGGGGGGGGGGAGGCGCACATTCTAAGGATTTGTTCGTTCAGTACAGTTTAGTATTTTTACTATTTCACTTGTTTTTTTGTTTTGTTTTTTGTACTTTTATCTAACATGTGGTAATTTTGTTGTAATCTTTACGGTAAAGAGGAGCTAAGTTAGGGCAAACTGTCGATATTCTTGTAGAGGACAAAGCATTGCAGTCGTTAATTCAAGAAATAACGTTAACGCCACATATAAATGGGGGAAAAGGATAGCGGACACTCCACTCAGTGCTCAGGAGTTTCAGCCGTCTCGTCATGCATATTGAGATAGAAACAATAGTCATAGCAAGTTAAATTGTTGAAAAAATATGCGACAGATTCAGGAACTGTTACGTGCGTCCGTATTATATATATTATTTAACAAAACTACCGTTCGATTTCCCTCAAATAATTCATGCTGGACCTTTGGTTATATAACAGAACAGCCACCGAGACGATATAGGGATAGTAATCGATATTGAAAGACCTGATATAACCCTCCTTTTTATCCACGGAAATTATGTACAAGGAAGATATTGGTGGAAATCAGGCTGGCGCGCGTGTCTGTGCTTCAACAAAGACCAACGGACAGATTTCCTTCGCTTATACATTGGTAGGCATATATACTACTAAAGAAATTGAGAAAAAGCACATGATTATGACGACAAAATAGTAGATCCAAGATCCCCGTAGTTTAGTAAGCGCGACCCGTTCCAAAACTATCGTGAGGGCGTGGAGGCCGTGGCACAATGCACTGCAGTAATTACCAGTTCTAATGGCGCTATATAAGTTTAGAAATCACATTTAGCCTGTTTCAGCATAGTATAGGATTATATTCCAATAGTCAGGACACATTTTCCCCGTTTTTTTTTCAAATCCTCTCCAATATTGTCATAATAGCCGATTTGAGTGCACTTGCTCATTCTGGACGATATAGCAATTAGTCGACACAATATTCGTTAAAAAGACAACGTATCTTCCTTCCTATCTGTTATCTTTTGGCTATTTACCGGCGCGTGAGGCATAGAGGCCAGGGCAACACTTGGTCAGGTTAGGTCTGTGATAAATGATTATGCGGCTATGTTTCCTAATATGTAAATATTTTCCCACCTGTAGTATAATTACATCCGTTTTCAATCATTATTACAGTAATTTTTGCTATTCATATCCGT